ATCATTATGCGGAAAGTCCAATATGAAATTTTAAATGGTAAATATGTTGCATTTTTTGAAGGAATTCCACTGTAAAGTATAATGCGAATGTTTGATATGAATATGAATACATCCATTCATGAATACTCTCAATATCCATTCTTTTGAAATAAGATGTAACAACGAAGGCAGTTGAAAACTTTAATCTAACTTAATCATTCTGATTGCTAATTATGTTTATCAACACTTTGATTGCACCTCAGCTGGAGATTGAATCTTAATAATTTGATCAAAGGGATTTTAATTTTCCCCAATTCTCTTATCTATGTTTAACAATGTGTATACTCGTTATAGTGTGTCCGGTATGTGTTGATAAACCAAAGATGTGTTTTTTGGGATATTCAGAAAAAAGTGTAACATACCATTCTAGATACATTGTATATTTGTTACAAATACAAGATATGACTCCACTTTGCTCCTGTGCAACCCCTTACCGGCATGAAGTATGAAGTCTGGTACGCTAGCTTCATTTTTAATTTGATTTCGGACCTGAGAAATTTGAAATACGGAATCATTATCTGGCCAAAGAATGTAATGCCCCGAGGTGTACATGTAATGCATCATATGCATCACTCATTATCATGAAGCGACAATGCCTTGTTGATCATTTAACGTTGGGAATCATGTACACTCCCCTCCATAAGTTTGGCAACCTTTTTTCCCCCATTGGAGTACGTGTTAAAGCCTCTTTACCTTTGAATTTTTATTTACTTAACCTGCGATGAAAATACTTATACGATTGATGGAAACGTAATTTGACTTTAATTCCAATACCTCCAAATTTTCTCAATTTTTTTCCTCAATTACAGTAGGTCAAAAATTAATGATGAATTTGATGAATTTTTGAAAATCGACATTCCCATGTTAACCAATGGGAAATGGTAGGTTTGCCGCAAGTCATATGACAGAATATCCATCCATCCGAGTCCTTGCAAAAAATACGAGTTAGGCAGGTAATTGAATTTGCTAACTTTATTTAACAAAAAATTGATATGTTTTTTCAGATTCAACAAAGTTATAGGGCTTTAAAGTCAAAATTGTTTTTCAAAAAACCTCTCCCATTGAAATAACACAGGAGGCGAAAAATTCTTTTCAAAAATGACTTTGAAGCGCTGTAACTTTAATATTCATCAAATAAACTAAACACTTAGTGTTCAAAAAAGTTAGACAATTCAATTTTCTACATAAAAATATTTTTTGCTGAATCTTTTACTGAAAAGATATCCTGATTTCTGATTTGTCCCGAACCCTCCATTTCCCATTGGATTACATGGGAATGACGATTTCCAAAAATTCATCAAATTTATCATCAATTTTCGACCTGTTGTAATTGAGGAAAAAAATTGAGAAAATTTGGAGGTATTGGAAATAAAGTCAAGTTACGTTTCCATCAATATCATAAGTTATTTTATCGCCGGTTAAGTAAATAAAAATTCAAACGTAAAGAGGCTTTAACACGTAGTTCAATGGAGAAAAAAGGTTGCCAAACTTATGGAGGGGAGTGTACATACCACTACATTTCTCCAAACTTAACTTGTTTCTTTTAAATTCTTTATTTCTTTAAGTCTGATTATGAAAGGAAAATACAACGTTGGGGAGGACGGAGGTTGGTTCCCGGGGGGTGGGAGGTTCAAGCCGTAATGGGAGTCAAAGCATCCGTCGCGTTGAATGATAAAACTCTAAATCAAGCAGGCAATTTAAAGCAGTTGCCAAATGTCAGTAAATACATTTGATCCTTTACAGTAACCACATCGAGGCAAGCGCCCCTCTGAAGGGGGAAGGGGGGGGGGGTAAACACACAGTACCATCGGAAAAATGATATCGGCAATAATTTACATTAACTTAAATTAAACCCAATACTCAAACGAAAAGTTAGCTGGTTATCTATCTATAAAATATAGAAATAAATGTAGTCCATATTTTAAGATCAAAATAAATCAATTTTCAAAGTGATATTTTCTATCGTGATATGAATTTTCTTCACTTGGAATCAACGAGTCGATTAGCATCGCATGTAGCTGACAACACTATTTCAAAAGACGGTATGAAATTGCCAAAATGTTTAAATAAGTCAGTTTGTCACCGTACATACAAAAGCCTTTGTTTGAAATTTTTTTCTACTTATTCCAAATAGTCTGCGCTAACATAAATGAATAAAATAGATCAAAATTAAAAGAACCAGAGAAAGTACTTGACATGTACTATTTCAATACTAGATTAGTAAAAAATATATGAAGTTACGTAGAATTACTTCATGTTAAAATACTAAATGTATTGCTTATGGTAATTTACTAGGTCAGTTGTTTACACATAATTATCAATGTGCCAAGAGCGAGTAATGAGATTCCAATAATTGTCACAGCGCGTGTCAAAACTTTTGACATGGTCTTTGCACTGCGTTACACGGCGTGTGTCAAGAAGTGCATAGAGGTGTAAAGAGTTGGATTCATCGCGTGTCAAGAGGTCTAAATAATTGACAAGCCTAGGAACTCGGCGTGAAAAGACTAGTTTCTAGACGTGTCAAGAATTTGAATCCCATATTTCACGCAGTGGCGGTACTAACTCGACGGGGCGTATCGAAACCAAAACGCCCCGCAAAACCGTTAATTTGAATTTCAAATCTACCCTATTTTTGGAAAAGCAATGATTGCGAGTCTCACACTACAACGTTTTTCCTCAAACTTGTTTCATTAAAACCTTCACAGAAATACCTTTCAGTCGAGACATTGCTTTTGTTAACCAAGTCCCTCGTTTAGGCGGCGTTTTGGTCCCCAGATGTGAGAAGTTGCAAATCCTCAGAGATTTCAACCATCATTTTTGATATCTCGCCAGTTCTTTTATCACTCTCCCCCATATTCTGCGCAAGGACTCCCATTACAGCCCTCCATCGCTGCATCAACATATATTTATCACATGAAACGCAGGAATTTTGAAAAATCCTACGCAACTGTTCGAAATTGACCAAAACGCCCCCTTGTCTTCCAAAACGCCCCGCAGTCCAGTCAGTATCTAGATAAGGTGTATAGATCCAACGGGGCGTTTTGGAAGAGATATATAATATCTCTTGTCTTGAAAATTGTATATAATCCAACTTTTAAGGGTTACATTTATTATTAAACCAATAACTCAGCTTTGTGAATGCAAATTTCGACTGTCGGCTACCAGATTAACTTACTATTTTATGACCCACTCTTTAAAATATGAATGGAAAAGTGACAGGTTCTAACTATATTTAAATGAGTTGCCCATAAAATAGTAGATTAATCTGCAATACAATACAAAAAAATTATCTTTGCTTTCAGTTCATTTATGTTTTTCATTTTCAGACGTATAGTAGAGCAATGAGAGAGGATTATGAGGACAGTCATAGCTACTGAAAACAAGTGGAGATTTCTTTAGGACCACCTGTACACATTATATCAGAAAAATAGAGTTGCGATTATTTCGTATTTTTGGATTGACATTGATCATGGAAATAAACAAACTACTACATATAGAACTAATGTTCAGATTAAATAAATAGATATACCTTGTATCACTGGTCCCCATCTGGTTAGAAAAACGTTTTTATAACTAAATGGATGCACTTCCGTTGGATAAATCTTTTTCATCATTTTTTCCAAGAAGGGGATCGATTTGTATCTAAATATTTATTCTGTATATCAATAGTAACATCCGGTAACTGAAACGTTAGTCAGTCTCGAGGACATATTTCCAGCAGCTCGAATAATCGAGTGAGGAATCCTCACTTCAGGAAAAATATGTTCTTAAAAGTTATGTAAGGGATGGAACTTCATTGAAAAATAATAATCTGTCCAGTACCTTTATCTGGTGAATTGCATAACCTCTTGGTTGCGTTGTATTATATTTATAAGCCCTTTAACGTCCTCGTAGCTTACGTGAGGAATTCTAACTGATTATGGAGCCCTTGGATGTCGAGACCGATTCGCTTTTCAGTAACCAAATTTTACTCTTTACAAACGGGTAGAACACTATACTACCAGTAATTTTTTGCGTGATACAATATTTCGCGCTTTTTGCTAGTTTTGGAAACTATTCGCGAAATATAATAGTCGCGAAATATCCGGGAATTTATATCACTCAATGTAGACAATTTTTGTCCAGTATTGGGTGATAAATACTTTCGAAATTTTGAAAGTCTAGCTCTATAAGTTTTATAAATTAGGAGTGAAAGTTCAATTCCATTATCTGGTTTGACTCATGTACTACACATTGCTTATAAATAATGTTGATTAAATTAATACAACAGATTATATTCACTTATGTAACCATACATTCGTCATTGGACATCATGAAAGTAAAAACATGTTTAATATTGCTGTACTGGGGTATTGTAATTGTGAAAGGCGATGATTGTAATTGCAAACTAAGTGTAGGTCGGCAAAAATCGTCTAACAATGTTTTTTCTGAAAGACTGGATTCCCAAGAGAAGTTGTTGGACATGTATGTATAAACTTTAAGTAAGTCAATGGGGGGGGGGGGGTTAGATTTTAGATAACTAAAACCGGGGTAACAATTTAACAACATAACTATTGTATAGTCGGTCAGTCACATTGCCGGAAATTAATGAGTTTTAAAAAATGTAACAAATCGTGGGTTTTCTTGAAGTTGTCCTGCCCTTGTTACACTCACCTCCATAATTTTGGCGACCAAAATCCCAATTGGATCGTTTTCAAAAGCCTGTTTATTTTTTGTATTCGACAAAATTCTTCAAATTTTTCATCAATTCCCGAACTATTGTAATTTAAGAACAATATTATGATTCAAACATTGACATGCATTGATATGGTAGCTAGTGCTATATAATGAAAAGTTCTGATGCAAAACTTATGGAGGGGATTCATTATTGCATTGTAGCTTAGAGAAACGCTATAAACGACTACAAGATGAGAATGAGTTTAAGCTGCAGAGGTTGAATTCATCTAAATCTACTGCAGAGGGGCTGGCAGAGACAGTGTATAAACTATGTGAGTACTTGTAGAGTGTAAATTGTTGGTTTACTTGTGAGGTTTTCACTACGTAATATGATTTGAATTGTTGCCATCATAAAGGGGTGATCATCAACTTCATACTATATCTTAACTAGATATTTTTGCTGGATTAGTTATAATCCTTAAGCTTGTGAAAATGACTGTCCTTGTTATCGAAAAAAAACTAGAGATATTGTGAGAACCTTTTGATCACCCTCGTTTGTATCAATAAAGGTCACGCTGTCTGTTCTCAAATTAATTGGATTCGAGATAATACTTGAGTACTAATCGAGTACCTTTTGCCTTTGTACTTATTTGCTAAAATATATCCTGCAACGCGCTTTGCTTTACTTATACCGTGTATTATTCGGAACCCGGAATAATATGATAATGAGCTCCGATTTCGTCTGCAAATTTAATTGCACCACAAATGTATTAGTTGTATGTTTTCCTCTGCATATGTGCAAATGGTAGATATCTGTAGTTAATTCCATAAACTTTCTTTTGTTTAGCCAAGCCATGTCCTAGGGGGTTTCTCCGCTGTATTGCGTCTGGGGAATGCATACACCCAATATTAGTGAGTAATTCATGGCCTATCGATATCATATCCAACAAAACATGCAATAAGAGGTTTATGTAATTCATGGCCAATCGATATCATCTCCAACAAAACATGAAATAAGAGGTTTATGTAATTCATGGCCAATCGATATAAAATCCAACAAAACATGAAATAAGAGGTTTATCGAATTTATGGCCAATCGATATCATCTCCAACAAAACATGAAATAAGAGGTTTATGTAATTCATGGCCAATCGATATTAAATCCAACAAAACATGAAATAAGAGGTTTATGTAATTTATGGCCAATCGATATCATCTCCAACAAAACATGAAATCAGAGGCTTATGTAATTCATGGCCAATCGATATAAAATCCAACAAAACATGAAATAAGAGGTTTATGTAATTCATGGCCAATCGATATAAAATCCAACAAAACATGAAATAAGAGGTTTATGTAATTTATGGCCAATCGATATCATCTCCAACAAAACATGAAATCAGAGGCTTATGTAATTCATGGCCAATCGATATAAAATCCAACAAAACATGAAATAAGAGGTTTATGTAATTCATGGCCAATCGATATAAAATCCAACAAAACATGAAATAAGAGGTTTATGTAATTCATGGCCAATCGATATAAAATCCAACAAAACATGAAATAAGAGGTTTATGTAATTTATGGCCAATCGATATCATATCCACCAAACCATGAAATAAGAAGTTTATGTAATTCATGGCCAATCGAGATCATATCCGACAAAACATAAAATATAAGATGACGACCGATGCTTGGATCTAATACAATTGTCCAAAACATTACGACCTTTATATTCAATCAGTATTTTTTATTAAAAACGACGGAGAACTTAACCATCATGTGAAATCGAACCCAAGAATGTGAATGTTAATGTCCTATATGACGATTATCCCGAGGCCATATTAAAAATGTCTGTCCAAGGGCAGAGGTCTCGATGGCAGATATGTTATATTGACCAATGGATAACTTCAATAAAGTAAACCGACTATAGGATAATCTGAAGATTCTGATTGTTTTATTTTAGAACTATTATATTATATATTATGTAGAATAAATACTTATATTCACACACACTTTCTATTTTTTCATTTAATATTATTTTTGACCAATTTTGAATATGATATTTACCAAGGGCCCGCACATGTTAACTTGGGAACTATAAAAATCCCTATTTCATTAACCACGCAACATTGACAAAAAAACCTTATTTCTGCCGTTTAGGAAATCCTGATATCAGGGTGGTTCAGTAACAAGTTTTAAATATAAATTGTACATGTACATGTAGAATTATGCTCATCTAGGGATTATATTAGTTCACCCTCTCAGTAGTAATAATTTGCCGCAACTGATAATAGAGATATTGGAAAATAGTTGTCATCATGTCACTTGAAAAAATAATTGAGTATAGGACTGTAATTCCTTTGTGTATAATATTACACATACGCGTACAAGATCCTAAATACGCGTGACTGAAGCTCCCCATTGTCGTATTTTAGGGCTGCGATGGCGTGGTAGATTGCCAAGATGGTACAGACGAGGAGGAGGCAACTTGTAGTAAGAAACCTTTTGAGTATGATATCAAGATTATTAAATATATTGGAGCAGTGATAATGCCAAACTTTGATGAAGTTGGCAAAATCTGCTCATCTGCTGGACAAAATGGGCGATGTTAAACAAGTTCATCCATCTACCTACCGACTCATAAATGCTACAGTGTCAATTTCAGTGTAAGCAGAAATGAATTATTCACTGCTGGATGGTTTAGAATATGAAAAAATATATTTGAACTGTTCGATTTTAGCAATGCCCTGGACACCAGGAATCAGAAGTCAATGCTACATGCCTGCGGGTCAGACATGTTTTCCAGAAGGCGGTAGTGTGCATATAATCGGAACGGTGACGAAAATTATTGAGATACCTTGGCTTGCACAGGCTACCAGGGGGGAAGGAACAATAGAGTACTATTTCAATAGAACAGATGGCAGGTTAGTTTCGAGTAACGATTTTTGTACAGCAACCTAAGATGGTTGGAGATCTAACCTTAATCTTTCAAGAAACTTGATTGGTTTCTTGAATCATGTTCTTATCCTTCTTCGTGATAGCATCTTCGGCCATCTTTGTACGAAAGCATCTTCGGCCATCTTCGAGATAAAAACATCTTCAGCCATCTTTCTGGTATTAAAAGTACTCGGTTGCGGGGCATCAGTGCTCTCTCTTGTTTCTGCCCCTTAGCCAGAGAGGCTCGAGTGACTCTGCAAATAAAAGGTGAACTTAAACCTAAATGAGCAAATTACGCGCCCATCCGCAACACCCAGTCAGTTGATATTCTAATGTATACAAACACGGGGGTATGGGGTATTTTCCATCCTTCTTTAAGGGTGACGCATATTGTTTAGCAAATCGAACGCTCGTTTCTGGTGTTGCTCACCGTTTAGTATAAAAGGCCCGATCCCGGAATAATACTCAAGGGTTCACAGGTTCGAGGTCGTTGTGTCAACACCTCTAACTGTTATATAGCATAAGTATATTATAGATCGTCACACATTTATAAAAGGGTGATTTTTATTTTGACAAATCAATTCCACATTTATGGGTGAAGTTTCAGGATCTTCTATTTGTGTATAATAAGGAAAAATTGGCATCTAAATTTCCCCATAACGTAATAGCACACAGCTTGGCATATGAAATATCCTACAAATGAAACAAAGCAAGACAAACCGGTTTCTAATACAAGGATTTATATTGGCTGTTGGACATGTATTCTTTGAACGCAATCACTCTTTGGATAACGTTTTCAAAATCATTTTAAACGGATTACTTTATCTCAAAGACAATTTCAATAAACTGGATTTTACAGAACTCCCCTTATTTCTTAAAAATGGACTGATCCAGTTGATTCGCCTGGAGCCGCCATATTGTTTTTATACGGGATGCTAATCGGAACCCTTTAAAGGACTTCATTTACTCTAAAATTCAGTTTGAAGCAAGGAGGTGTCTTTTTACTTTAACTTGACATCCATTCTCAATAAGAATGCAAATTCCAGGTATGAATCTGACAAAAATTAAAGTAGCTTTAAATGGTTTAAAGTTGATGTATTTCTATTTGAATATATGTTAAGTATCTAAAGTGAAAATATCTTCATCAATCTCATACCCCTTCATGGAAAAGTCGCATGTTGAAGCTTATCTAGTATTCATTTAAAAATGTAAGTTTCTGTCATTTACGTTATAGAGGGTTGTCGAAGCAAGCGACCTATATTTTCATTCAACATATTATTCTCAAGTCTGTTTTTGTACCGAACAATAAGGATATATTTTGCCTTAATACTAAATCATGCATCAGGCATTTTGAAGATATACAAGTGGAAAGAATTCACATTGAAGTCAACAATTACATATGACTTATTATTCCTTTTTACAAACAAAACCTAAGTGCTACATGTCATTCCAATTTTATAAAAACTCAGTTTGATAACATTAAATTTATATTTCTTTTATGATTAGAAATAGTGTTCAGAATAAAATGATAGCTGTATCTTGGTGTTTGATATGCCATACAAAATGTATTTGAGATTTGTATATCGTTACACCCTTGATAACGTATATGATCCAAAAAAAGTAACATCGTAGAATGAGTCATATCATATGTGATCATGGTTAAACCATCAACTGGTGCTTCTTTTATCATGTTTACACTACATTTAACCAATAGTAACATTTAAAAAACATAGTTCTGTGGACCATCATGTAACGTAAATGATGGTGAAATTAACTAACTTTTGCAATAGCAACATTAAAGCTAACACAAACATTATTTATGCACAAAACACGTAATGAATTAATATATTGTCACATACGCTATATGTTGGAATGAATATATACAGGATTAAAGGGACATAATCTTTCTTCACACATTTGTAATGCTAAATCCTTTGTAACGTAAGTGATTTCAAAACTTACAATCACAAGATCAAAACTATACTATATAATTTGTGATTATCGTCAAAAAGTAACAACATTCAGTGTCTACTCTTATATCATAGGTACATATGAACTCCTGAAAACGTTTCTAAATCCTAGCTTGGACATATAGATCCCATAGAACATGAGTTTAAACCTCAGGACACAGATCTAGAGTTTAAATAGCCCTTTAAACTTCCCTGTTGGGATTGACTCATCTACTACACACTCAAAATCTGAGACACTCAGCCAAATAACGTAACATTCTAGAGACCATTGGAGATTCTTCTTTTCCTAAAAAATAGTATTTATCATCATCAGTATCACATGCAGTGCCTTTTCGACATACCAACAGTATTGTAAACTGCAGTGAAAAAAGTCGCCAAGATGTAGCTCTTTATCTCCACTCTCAGTCTGCATGATGGCCCTGTCAGAATACCCTTGGTTGTCTCTTCTTGTATGTCATTCCTGGTTCGTTTCATTTTGTGCGGTGCACTTTTAACACTGTTTATTTGCTTCAACAAAATATACCTTTGCTTGTGGTAAACGTCGAGTACTCATTTCATGTTTGTCCATCCAGGCAAGGCCCTTAAGCTTGTATCACCTTCCATCGCCTTTAGTAGTATTATATCAACTAGACTTGAACACTTTTCAGGCATTTCCCCGCCAGTCATGTTGCGTCTGCTTCGCCTCTTCAACTACTTGTTTTTCTCGTACTAATCTTCTCCTCAACTCTAGGGATATCACTATGCTAAAGTTTGCATCGCATCACTTTTCCCCTGCACTCTTTGGTGTTTTTGGCATGCTTGGACCCTTCATTCTATTTTTCTCTGCTTCTGTAAGATCCTTGGGAATGATTTGTGATTGTTTTTTCCCTGTTTATCTATGTTCAGGGAGCTTTGTTTTCGTATGGCTACGTACGTCCCCAAGTTCTACTTATCCGTTTTTTAAAGGGCCATGCATGTCTTCTTGCAAAATTCCAGGCAAAATTAATATGAACTATAAATTGTGTGTTACTTGTACCACTGTCATAAACACCTTATGACCTTATTGAGACAATGCATTTATGAACCCGAGCACGCTCTATTTGGTGCTTTTTTCCTATCACGATAGTCTTCTTGAATTTCAGCAGGATGCTTTCCCATCTACGAAAAGTTCAAGTTGATTTATGAACATATCTGTAAAGATTTGACGATAGAAAATGTGTGCAATAGAATTTATCAATTACGTTACCATCGGTAACGTAATTTATGACATAGAAAACACAAGACTATAGGTTCACTTCAAAATTAATGATAGAAAAGTGTTTTTATGTTCATTTTCACATTTATACCGACTGTGTTTATGCCATAGATAACATCAAATTAACACTACATCTTCTTTTAACAACAGAGATACTATATTAGGTGTGATATATACCTTAAATTGTGTGGATTTACTCTAAAAAGGTGGAAGTGTTTCTTTATTCAGATTCAAATGAATATGGATACTCAAATTTCCCGCTTTTTAAACTTTATTCAGAGCTAGGAGTATGGTAACCGTTATTTTCGTACTTCTAGGTATCGTAAATGATGGTGTTGTAAATGATGCAATTTCCCTTTTGCTGGCTGTATTATATTCAAACAATGTCAATTTAGTTAAAAATACTGATCAGCCAGGGTCACTCCTACCATACAATAAGGTGATATAACATTAATATGCTCAGACACTTATTGCCTGTGGAAACTATGATCACGTAAATGATTTTCTTATCTATAACTTCATGAAAAACGGGAATTATAATTTTCTGGCCCCCAAATCTCAACGTTTCAAATATCAACTTGTACGACGTTCTATTAAGTATTCAAATTGGAATCCAGATACGTATATAAAACATATAAAACATTAATTTTTCACCAGTTTTTATATGATTTATAGCACAAGGGGGTTGATATAAAAAAGTCTGGCGACATTTGTCAAGGAACATTTTCAAGATGGTAAAAATGTCAAAATGATAGTTTCTGTCATTTAACCAGAAGCTGGGATCGTCTTGTGTATAAAACACCACTTTATATGGGATGTTACGCATGAAAAATGTTCTAATGGCACCATACAATCCTGATTTTTGATATGGCGACAGTCACGTAACTGATGAATAGCCCTATTCTAGTACATATAATAAAATAGGTGTAACTGAGAAATTATATATTACATATGTGCTAGGTAGAGGGTCATATGTACTATTTATATATACAACAAAAAGTGATGTTGGTAATGTAAATGCTGAGATTGAGCCCTGAGACATCGATTTTGCATTCTTATTGAGAATGGGTGTTGAATGAACACCACGATTAGTCCGCATTCATGGCAGTAGTTATAGTTCTATAAAAGTAATGCTATTTACATGAATAGATGTCTCTGCATACAGTGTCTTTGGGCTATGATTGGCCTGGTTGGTCATTTAGTACAGTAAGTTGATTTAAATCCCACTTGGGTAGCAACACAATAGAATTTGCTGTGGTTTATTTTTAAGAATGTATGGTTTTATCAAAAGGAAAGTGCATTATTTTTCTATTGTTTTGAAAGAATGTACACTTGGCAAGCTATCAAAAACAAGTGAGACATAAATGACCATTGACAGTTTTTGATAGTTTTCATTCCCTAAAAACAATATACAAAAATACATGTACCCTTCTCTTGTTACTGTGCATTCTTTAGAATAAAACAATTTATCAATTTTTGTTGCTATCTACATCATTGATCTTATCTTACTTACAAATATTCTGCTGTATTCAAATTCAATGTTCTGGACTGGACAGTCACCTGTAGTGCACTGAAGCTAGACTAATTATAGCCCACTCAGTCACTTACATCAACTCACACTCATGAGGTCAATGAGCCTCCGGCCTTCGGTGTATTATTTCTTATAAAATCTCATTCTTATGCTTTATCCAGTACGGAAAATATTGGCATGGACACCGTGAAGTTAATTTCGTTCTCACTGCAGAAAAACAGCGCACTCGTACACTGTTTAATTTTGAGTGAG